AGAGCGACATGGTTTGTTTTGATTCATATAGCCAACCCCAACCTACTTGATATTGAGTCATTGATGTTGTTGTTGTTTAATTGCAGTAGATTCTCAACAATTAGTGACCAATCACACATACAAATTGACTAGTTATGCATGTTTTCTTCGAATATACTGTCAAACTTCTTTATAACAATCGCGTTTGTTCCGGTATTTTTTGGATGCTATAGTGATGTGCTGTTATAAAGGACATATATTATAGCATAACATAAAAAATTATTTCCGAGAAAAAGTTGGTTTTTATAGTGCATGTTTGTTATATAGGGATGTTTTTATAGTGCCTGTTTGTTATATAAGAATGTTATTATAGAGATGACTGACAGTAAAAGCATAAACAAATGTGCTAAACATGGGATCTCATAACACATTTCAAACATCAATAACTTCGTCTCAATCTCAAACTAATTAGCGAAGATTATATGAATCCTCTACTTCAAAAAAAAAACTTAAAAGATTAGAGCTTGCTCACCGTTTTGATATCATCAAAGCCATATTCATACTGCCCACCTAAATCACTGACAACCACAAGATTCCTCCTACTCTTTTTCTCCTTCTTTAAATTCTTGTAATTACCCTTAAATGCTTTTGCTGAAAACCTCAAATCTACAAAAGAACTGCTCAATTCCATTGAACCTAAGCGTGGCAATTGCTTCCTACCAATTGAAGAAGAACTCTTATGCAAAACTGAATCCCCAACACTCAATTTGTTGCAAGTTGGCAAAGCATCCAAACACAAACAAGGACTAGAATGTGAATCCACTATAGATGAACCCACAACAGACAATGCCCCCACCATTTTAACCAAGATTCAAAACCAAATAATAATTCAAGAAAATTAAAAGATACCCAAATGAAAATAAGAGGAAAAATTAAATGGGGTTCCAAAAAAATTGGAGCTTGACAAGTGAATTCACAAGTTCATGCACATAGATAAAGAAACAACTAGGTGCAAAGTGAGGGGAAAAAAATCAAGAAGTGAGGTATTTCTATTTGGACAAGCAAAAGGAAAGTAAAAGAGTAATTTTTCCTTGAAAATGTTTATTTATCAGAATTGCGAAGATTTTTGAGGTCCAAATTGTTCCAACCACATAAGATGATTCAACCTAAGGACCAAGAGATTCAAATAAAAGGTGTGTTTAGCTTTCTTGGTTCACCTTCCTACAGACAGTTGGACGGTTTGGTCCCAAATTTGCTGGGTTTTTTTAGCCACGTGTAAGGACCAACGACTGGATTTTAACTACTATAATAACTAACGTGTTCAATTTTTTGAAGGATTCCCAACTGGCGTGCATGTTACTTGTGGGGAAAAAAATTGTTACTTGTGGGGAAAGTGGAAAACAGACATGTCAAAATATAAGAAAAATATAAAAGAATACTAATATTGAAAGTATTAACAAACAGTAGTAACCTTGACAGGAGGAATATGCTGTCGAGGACTAGGGTAGTAGGTTAGTAAGTAGTCGAGCGTTCTCTTTATGTCTTCTCAGTTCGATATGATTAGTGTTAGTATTGAAAGTATTAACAAATAATAGTACCCTTGATAGGAGGAAGCGACAGTCGAGGATTAGGATAGTAGGTTAGTAGGTAATCAAACGTTCTCCCTATGTCTTCTCAATTCAATAGCATTAGTGTTATAATGTTATCTCTTTATTTTTAGATTGTTATTACTACTTGGTGTTTACTTGCTTTTTTGGCTTCGATTTTTCTGTTTTATCTTGTTGTTGTTACTTCTTTTTATTCTTTCTTTAGCCGATGGTTTATCGAAAACAATCTATCTACTCTTTTAAGATAGGGGCAAGGTTGCGTACATCTTACTCTCCCCAGACCTCACTCGTGGGAATTCAGTGAGTTGTTGTTGTTATTGTTGTTGTACACAAATACATTACTTATATTAAAATTTACGTATCACAGGCTCAATAGCTTTTGTTTAAATCATGTATATGCATTAGTCAATTTGCAAATAAATATCTATAAATATTTGATTATGAATTCATTATTAGTGTATATTATCTTAAATCATTATAAAAACTCATAAACTTCCAAAAGTAGTATGAAAAGGGATGATTTGCAACAACATAGGATGTCCAAAAAAAACTCATAATCTTCGAATTCTAAATCGTCTCTCAATATCGATATATAAGTCGATACAACTTAAGTATACTGGTATCAAGCATACATGTGCACTAAGAATTCAATTATATGCGATTCACTTAGCAAAACAACTACGATTATCACTATATTAATTAACTTCAACCCAACAGTAATATCCAAGAGACCACAGTTGCAAGATAATTGAGTATTTGACCACTAACTTCCCTTCTTGAAGAATTAACTTTTCGTGTAATAACTTTTAATTTTACTTTGTCCAAAATATATAGGCAAAGATTTAATTCCGAAATCCCAATATGAAAATGGTGGAGCTACACAGCTAGTGACGTTAAATTTAATAGTAGTAGATTTCGACAAATCTGTTAATTTTCGGATTAAGGGCCAATGTTAACTTTTTCTCTAAACATCAGTGATTATCTCTTTCATCGGGTCTCCCGAGTATTTGGTTGTTATTTATGTTGCTTTTACATGATTTCCCACTGTTGCGATTTTTGTTTTCTCTTCTTTAATGTGGTGCTTATGCTTCTTCTCTGAGCCGAATGTCTATTGAAAATATCCTCTCTATTTTCACAAGGTAGGAGTAAGGTTGCGTACACGTTACCATTCTCAGACCTCACTATGTGAGATTATACTGGATATGTTGTTGTTGTTGTTGTTGTTGTTGTTGTTGTTTATCAGTGATTAGTTTTAGGGTACGCGCATTGCGCGTATACCCCGCACTAATAAATATAAAATTTTAAAAAATTACATAAATAATAATATGTTTGAGTTATAAAATAAAAATTAAATAAAAAATATAAGTTCATGACAATGATGAATGTATGATTTTAGCATTGTGTTTGTGGCATTCAGCTTGATTTTTCTCCAAATGGTAATGTCATATTTATTATGCGTATGTAAATCATTTTGGAGTTGAGAGACTAAATTTTGAGAGAAGATTCGCGAGAGACAATTTTAAGAATAACTTCATGCATTTTTTTCGCGTTGTGACGATTATTGCCTCTTTTTTTTAAATGCATCTTTATAGATTTTTTTTTTTTCCAGAAAATTGACTCTTGAAACAATAATGAAATCAGTAAATGCAACTAAAATCCAAATTAAAGACAAATATGCTATAGTTTCCGTCTAAAAGTGCTTGTGTTGTTAGAAAAATAAAAATATACGACAGACAAAAATTCTTTTGAATAAACATTTTAATTTATATAAGGTAAAATCTGAATAGATTTTAAAGCCTTAAATTTTAGACTTTCTGTCTAGTTTAAATAAAGAAAGATTTAATAATCATATTTTTAGTTATTTTAAATGTGCTAAATAGTAGAAAAAATTATTAAATAACTACTTTGTCCGGTGTGAATTCTATTTTTAAGACTAAAAGAGGCGAACAACATTTCACTAAAGACCTTCGTGCTTTTAATATAACTGGTATGAAAGTACGCGTTCTGCGCGTACCCATATTAATGAGTATATAATTTTATAAAATTATACAAATATTATTAAACAATGTGTTAATTGAGTTATACAATAACAATAAAAAAGTGTCAATTCATTATTGTGCTTTTGCAACTATTTATCTATTCTGGTTATGTTATGGTATTCATGCTTAACAAAGATTGAAAAAATAATATGGAAAATTACCTCTAGAATAATTATATTTGGATAGGTTGAATTTGTGTGATTAAAACATAAATGCATTAATTGTCGTATAAAGAAACGTAAGTGTCTTTTATTTTGACAATGTGTTGAACTTTTTTCTAGTAATTCTTCCAAAAGAAAAAAATTAGTCTTAGTAAAAAACTAAAAATTGATAAACATGTCGTAAGTTGTTTTCCAAATATTGAAAAATTATTATTCATGGTTGATATTTAAAATAAATAAATAAATAAAGAATTATCAGTTTATGTAGAACTTAAAAAAAGTCACAGATACTTATTTTCTCCTACGGTTAGAACAAATGCCAAAGCAACTTTAATTAACAACCACAATATTACTTTGCTATTAATTCTCTTTAGTTTTACAGTTTTGATATCACTTGTCTTTTACAAACTGATATGTTATACAAAACAAATATGAAAAGATTTTATATAATATATTTATTATTAAAACTTTTTAAATCATTCAATAAGGAAGAATTTAATACATAGTATTTAGTTGATTTAAAAAATACTAAAGTTTAGGGGGAAACTCAATTGACGATAAAAGTTTGGATCTTTACACAAATATGCGTGGTTGCAATTTAACTTTATTTTTATCTAATTTAGTTTACATATGATTAAATAATTCTTAAAAAAAGGAGTAAAACTTAGACATAGATGCTTTCTACGATTCCTAATTAATTATAAAGATCATTAAACCTAGGAAACTTAAAGTAGAAGAGTAAGATTCTTATCAGTTTTTGCATAATTAGGAATAAGCGTGGTAAATTCACAAAGATCTTCGTCTTCTAGTAAAACTTAAAGTAGAAAAGTATGATTTAAATAAGAAAAGTTTTAACAATAAAAATCTTGTTGATTTTAGTATCCTAAATAGTAGGAAAAATAATCAAATTACTATTTTGTCCAATATGAACTCTATTTTTAAAGAATAAAAAAGGCGAACAACATTTCGCTATGGACCTTCGTACTTTTAATATAGTATAGATATAGATATAGATTATATCTGTGTCAACGAGCGTATATAGAGGACCAAAATAAACTAACCCCAAACATTAAGGACCATTTTGTCATTTTCTCAGTAACTTTATATGTCACTTAACCCCCTCTATATGTCAATAGAGGTAAGAAAATTAATAAAAATTGAAACGACGTCGTTGGACACGTTGCAGCTTACCACATAAACGAAAACGCCATTCTAATTTCCAGTTAGTTCCAATTGAAGAACCCTAAACTTTCCCCCAAAACCCCCGTAAAGAAGCACTAAAGACATAGGGAAAAATCGATCTGGAGCTCCAGCAAAATGTATTACAGAGGGTAAGCATCCAAATTCTTCTTTAATCCCATGTTTGATATTTATTTATATTTCCTTATTTTTATTTTTTTGTAATATTCCTTTTTTTTTTTTTTGGTTATTGGGGTCTGTATGATTTTGTTGGATTTTATTTATAGCTTGTCCTTTATTGTGATTTTGATTGTTTTCTCTTAGTGGGTCAAAAGTGTAGGATACATTCTTGATACATTGATATAAATGTTAGGGAAATCATGCTTAATTACTGAATTACTGAATTTCCTAGCATAGACTTTGTATTTTGAGGTCTTATGAGATACCCACCAAGGAATTTGCTTGCTTTTTGTTGTTGTTGTTGTTGTAATTTACACTTGTATAGTTGACCGAAGAAGTGATGTTGATGCTTTACAGAGGCTGATCCAAGATTTAAACTTTATGAGTTTGAGATGCCACTGAAAAATACGGGAGTTAGTTATAATTATGAACTAATTAACTAGCTCTTTTATTGGTTATTGGGACATTAACACTTACTAATAAGAGTTTTCGTTGATCTATGAACGGGAAGAATGAAAGCAAGCCACTATGCTAATTCCTCATCCGCAAATCCCATAGGTTTTTCTTCTTAAAGAATGAAGAATTGGAGGAGGGATTGAGTTACTTGGTTTGAAATTTAATATTTGTACATATTTAGTAGATTTTTGACATATACACAGGGTATGAGCCAAAGCTTGTGAATTCGGTCAAACATGTAGTTTATACAGTACATCCCCCCTCCTCCCCGGTTACAAAAAGGGCAGCCCGATGCACTAAGCTCCCACTATGCGGCCGGACTACATTGGCAAGGAGAAGTATGGTTTAGAGTCTTGATGCAACACTGAAGCGCCCACAAAGCGAGGCGAAACGCTCAACATGTTTTGAGCCTCGCTTCAGGGCTTAAGCGTGCCTTTAACAACACTGAGTAGATGTCCATTGTGTGAAGAGCATCCGGAAGAAGTTGGCCATCTCTTCTTGCATTGTAGGGTCACTAGGTAGCTGTGGAATATGTTTTTGGTAATTTTGGGCATGAGTTGGACCATGCCAAAATCAATTGTTGAGCTCTTGCAAGGTTGGAGCAAAGAGGGGATTAGTAAGAAATCTCTAAGAACTTGGAATACCATACCTCAAGCCATTTGGTGGACTGTCTGGCTTGAAAGAAACAATAGAATTTTTGAAGGCACATCGAGCAATATTCACAGCCTTAAACAGAGATGTATTTTTTTGTTAGCTTTTTGGTGCAATCTGGTAATTGAACATGATGTAGATGGAATGCTAGATACAATAGAGGGTTTGCACAACCTGTAATTATGCTTGATGCACTAGCTTAGTGCATAAATTTATAATATCTTTAATTACTTATCAAAAAAAAAAAAATCATAGTGGGTGATAGGGTCTTGGATTTTGCAATCTCTTAGGTGAAGACAAAGCAATATAATCTTCTAAATTTTGTTTGGCTTTGTTCTTTGATCTATCTGCTCTTTTCATTAGTCTATCTTCTTTTTTTCCAAATGGGATAGGATAATACCTGTTTTATTGATTTTGAGTTGGATACTGACAAAAACGCTTGCTTTCATTTTGATTTAATGAAGAAACTATGTTGACGGTGGTGATGCCCGTGAAATGGGCTTCAAAAGGCAACGCATAATGGATCAAGGTTCCTCCTATTATGCTACTCCTCCGGGTTCAAGTTATTTGTACAATCCTCCTCCTCCTCCTCCACCTCCCCCTGCATACTCTTACACTGGCCAGCCTCCACCTTTCCCTGTTGTTCGACTCCGTGGCCTCCCCTTTGATTGTTCAGAGACTGAGATTGCTGATTTCTTGCATGGTTTGGATGTAATTGATGTGCTTTTTGTCCACAAAGGTGGCAGATTTACAGGGGAAGCATTCTGTGTTCTGGGATACCCTCTTCAAGTTGATTTTGCTCTTCAGAGAAACAGGCAGAATATTGGAAGAAGATATGTTGAGGTTTTCAGAAGCAAGAAGGAGGAATACTATAAGGCTATAGCCAATGAAGTTTTTGATTCTCGTGGCGATTCAGTTCCGAGGGCTAGATCTACTGATGAAAGGAAAGACTTAGCAGAACACACTGGTGTATTATGGTTGAGGGGATTGCCATTCTCAGCTAGCAAGGAAGATATTATTGAATTCTTTAATGATTTTGAGCTTTTGCAAAAATCAATCCATATAACAGCTACTTTTGAGGGTAGACCTACCGGGGAAGCATATGTTGAATTTGCTAGTGCAGATGATTCAAAAGCTGCAATGGCCAAGGATAGGATGACAATAGGGAATCGCTACATAGAGCTCTTCCCTTCATCACCTGAGGAGTTGGAGGAAGCACTTTCAAGGTGCAGGTGAGTACTAAATTCTTTTTCACTGTCAATCAGTATTTAATGTGTTTTATCCTCTCTGATCTTATGATATCGTGTCTATTACCTAAAATTGTTGGTTTGATAGCGAGATTCCTCTTCCTTGTTCTTTTTCTCTCTCCCTATCCCCATTTTGTTAGTTACAAGTAGATCAGAAGCCATTGTTCTACCATGTAATATTGTGAATACGTCATTTGAGTGGGGACCCAAACCTCCACATCCCGTTACTTTATATCTCACTGTGTCAATTATGTCTTTCCTACTGTTGAGCTGAAATTGTAAAATCGCATTTTTACACTTGTCGACAGGTGTTTTATTTAAACTTTGTTAGATGTCAAGAAAGTACGTCATGGGCATGTTTCTTAAAAAACTTTCTTGTATGTCTTTGTTTGAATGAAAGTTGAAAGTTAAATAAGAACACGATCTTCCTTCAAAATTCTTGCAATTTTTGTATGACCATTTTTGGAGTAAAGTCATTTTTGGTGGGAACTGGAACACGTTTTCCAAAGTTCTTTAACTTACTATAAAGCAGAAACATTACAAGGAAGTTAGCTGTTCGGTATTTCCTTATCAAATGGTGCCAAGTTCCATCTTTTTAATTGTTTTATTTGGAATTTAAATGGACAAACGGATTGAGAAATGCATGAGGATGCCTGAAAAATGCATTTGCATCACGGTAATGCATTTTGTACGGCACTCTTTCCTTTTTGGTTCAGGTATGAAGGATTGACACCTTTCATTTAATCTATTATTAGAAACTCTTTCAAATAACATTCGCATCTTACCCTTGATGATGTACTTATATGAATGACTTGGCATATGGAAGACCGCAAGATTCTAATGATATATTAGGTATGTTTGACGTATGTAGCTTATATGTTGAAAATCTTTTCTTTATTTCAATTTTTTTTTGGATAGTTATAATAAATATATTTGAAGAAGTCATCGAAGTTTGTGTCTTAGTTGAGGACTAAGTAAATGAGGCAAATAAGTTAAGGAACTGGTCAATGGCATCCTCAACACTAGGACAGTCAAGTAACCGATTGCATTTGTCTGTGGACTATATGCTGAGATAAAAGTTCTTATAGTTAGTGCCCACTTTTTGTTTCTCATCATTGATTGATGCGGACCTACTGCAACATTTTTCGGAGACTATACCAATATGCTTGATTTTCTCTCAGTCAGTGATAAGCGGAAAGCGCAAAAAAGCGATGTCCATAGGGCTTGAAGTGAAAAGCGAGCAGTGAAACACATGCTTCTTTAAAGTGAAGTCACAATTTTTGATTAAAAAAGAATACCATATATATACCATATAAAATTTTATTGCTGTAAAATCATCTTGTTAAGGGTAAAAGGAGAAGTTGAGAGGTTTTTTTGAATGAGGTAGTGTCTGAGCCAGCTTCTGCGTACCTCGACTATTGAACCGGGTACCTGCTACCTTCCATTAGCACACTTACCGTGTGACCCTGTCCACCAAGGCTTGGACAATGGTAAGAAATCATCTAGTGTTTTTGGTCTTCGTTGAGTTTTGAACCATGATTCTCCTCCTACTTCATTGACCACTACACCATACCTTTGGATGCTAAACGGGAAGTGTAGAGTTGAGTTGTTCCTAAATATAGAAAGGTATCATTCTTCTTGGCGTAGACTAAAAAGATAAGAGTATCACATAAAATGGGACGGAGGGAGTAGTATATATCTATTCCTTTGATATTCCCATAATCAAACCAAAAATTCAAAAAGTTAAACAAGAAAACTTTGTACAGTCAAGCGTGGATGTTTGTCCTTTCGAACATCTACTATATCTCTCCTTCCACAAGCTCTACATAATACACTGTGTGGTAGCTGCACGAAACTTATTTACTTGTTGATGGGAATCATATCCCAAACAGGAGAAACTCTACTGATTATGAATTGACCCATTTTACTCAGCACAAGAACAAAAACTTTTGTCTACATCTCTATGAAGAAATAGCTGATTTCTTTTTCTTTTTCTGATTGTTTGAAGAAATTGGTGATTTGTTGTTGCTGCTTTTTTTTTTTTTT